GCAGCTCTCACAGCAAAGAGGTTTATTTTATTGTCAATGGCGCAATTCATGTAGCTCTCGCTCACCAAAGATTTCTCCTATTTTATTTTTATTTTTTTCTTGAATGGACTGCAGACATGTGCACATTAACATGTGGGTGAGGCAGCACTTCCTCCCGTGAGAGCTGTGCGTGACCCTCAGAGACAATCCTTTGTGACAGAGGCCTCGGCTTGGTGCCGGCCTTGATAAAACATTTATGGGAGCCAGGTGGGGTCACCTTGGGATTGCCGCTCTGAGTTTGACTGCAAAAACTGGACTCCTCCTGGGATTGAATTAACATCACTTTTTCATCATGTAGGTTCATGATCTGCTGTCTGTCTGATTCTGAATTCTTAAGGAGATAATGGAGAGAGCTAAAAGTCAATGAGGAGGAAAAGTTCATCCTTTCTACTATCCTATAAACTTCACGCCCTGTCTCTTGATGTTTAAATGTCATCTGCTTTAATGAATACATTCTGAAGCTACCAGGTGTAGCACAACATAACAGGAATGTTGTTCAAGTTTGCATGTATGCAAAACAACTGTTAATCCACAATATATGTACTTTTATTCAGATGTTGTCATCATACAGGTTTTAATTTAAGATATTGGAGACTCAAAATAAATAATAAAATGTTACAAATATTGTCACATCTTCTTTCTAGTCCAAAATAAACTGTGTTGCTGAATAATTTAATTTTCTAGAAAACTTTATAAACGTTATAAATTTTGCATCTGTTTGCATAGATGGTCGAAATATAATTCTGCCTTTTTTTTTTACCTTTTGGGCAAAACAGCTCCACTGTATCAGCTTCAACATTTAAACAAACAAGGTATCGCCCACTATTTTCACAGGCTTGTCATAAAATCTGGGTAGGCTTATTTATGGTGCTGATACATAACAGCATAAGTCAAAATAAGTGGTTATTTTAATTGATATCGGTTTTTCCAAATGGTGATACAAACACTTTTAAAGCACAATATGTGTAATTAAAAAAGGACTGTACATCTTCACTTGAAAAGCTTTGGCCTAATTTTGGCAATAAAACTCAATTAGATGCTGGATTTCTCTTGCTGTAAAGTATTTTTTAAAAGATGACAGAGCGTGATCACAGACAACATTTCGGTGCTATTTAGTAGCAGTGCATGCCCCTTCAAATAACCCCCGTAAGAACTGTTGTTCAGGACTGCTTACTTGTGCTTCCTACCCATTCAGCTACTCGGGGACAGCTTTTTGCCGGGGACAGGTCATCCAATTTGGGGACTGTCCCCGGCAAAAAGCTGTCCCCGGGGACATCTGGTCACCTTATGCAAAAGGCTGAAAATGGCAGGTGTTAAACCATAGATTTTTGACCCCGAGTCCGAAGAGGAGGTGGAAGTTGAAGAAGAAGCCGGAGAGCGAAAGAACTAATTTCGGTGCTCCAGTGGTGTTTTCTCATTCATTCTGCCCAGCTTTAAGTTCATTTTCCCGGCAGTGAACCCAAGGAAACACCGGTCGTTTGGAAGAGACCCATAGCGGATACAGTGGTAGCTGGGTCTCACTCTGGCTGGAGAGTGATGATGACTGTGACTGGGTACGAGAACGAGAGAGTGGGCGCGGCTCAGCGAGGACGCGCTCGTGAATGAGCAAGGTCAGCTTGACGTCAGAATGACCTGCTTTTTCAATCGGCCTGGTTTACCTGTTTCTTTATTTTAAACCTTTACAGAATGCAAACGACGTAGTGGTTTATTTTCACATTTACAATATAAGACGAACATAATATGGACTTAATCTGACACACAAAAATGCAAAAAATACATTTTTGGTGGCAGGTCCCCTTTAACATTTTTTTTTTTTTGTTAGAGTCCCTCTTGGTGGTCACATCATGACAAACATCACTCAAGCTGCATTAAACTTAATTAATTCATTTTGAAGAATAAACCATGACCTGCAGGTAAAGTTAAATTCTTTTTTTTTTTTTTTAACGATTGACTGAATACCTTCAAGTAAAGAGTTCTCCTGAATGAAAAAAGAGCTAAGGTTTGGAAACAGACCATGAATTTTCCAAGCAGTACGTAATTAATCTCAAACTGAGGGACTTAATGTGACTTCAAGGACAAAATGCAGAAAATACAAATATTGCGTAACACAGCCATTAGGTCTTGAATCCAGATCCAGCTCAGGTCAACCTGCACAAATAATCACAGTATTTAATATTAAAACACCTTGCAAAGTTGATAGCAAGAGGGGGCCAGATATTGTTATGTGACAGCCTCTTAATCAGCGCTGCATTTAATCTCTAAACTTGCAAAGTGCACATTCACCTTTCCATGCAAAATATTATGACAAAGTTTAAGAGCTGAGTAATAACTAGACTTTAAATAGGCTTAGCAGAAAGTACAGCGGCAAGCACTCCATGTTCAACCTTGTCCATACAGCAAAAAGAGCAAATCTGTTTGAGTAGAAGTTTTGCAAGCTCAATAAACAGCAGATCGTGAGTCTTTCATCACTGTCATCAGCCTCTCAGAGAGGAAAAGTACTGTCTGACACAAAATATGCAGCTCCACTTTGCAAGTTTGTGAAAAGTTGTGATCAGTGTTCCCATATGTGAGAGATTGCTGCTGTCGCTGACACATACATTGTTTTAATGACACCAAGTGTGAATAGAGTGTGTGATAGTGTTACTTAGTGACTGCATTGTGAAGATGAAAGTTCACATTTACAGGAGAATCCAGGCTAGTGTCTGCCTCTGAATGCGCCAGATTTCCTCTTTATGTCTGCATACAGTCTGCATATATGTTTATATATGATTGGAACAGTCAAAGCTTGGATAAAACATGACATCTTTCTGCAAATTTCTGCAAATAACAGACCTAAATGGGTATTTTATCAGAGAGTTTGAAAGCTGGAGGGAATGTTGTGCACAATAAAACACGGGTTCATTTAACTCTGACACTAACCGAGGAGTAGTAAATCTATGAAGAAACATGGTTTGAAGTGGTTTGGTAATTTTTAAGCGCTGTAAATTAGAAGTGTCATTTCGTCAAGGAATGAAAACAGAAAAATAAACCACCCTGAGACAGCTGAGATATTTTTACAGCTTCTCCTCACTAAGATGGAGACGGTAAGAGCATCTCTCCTTTTTAAGCTGCACTCCCCTTTCTACAGTTTTTGTCTTCCAGTGTCTGATCTTTTGGGAAAACCCTTCAGCAGGACAAATAACACAATTCAAATAAAAAATAATGATGAAGAAGGACTCGTCTTCATCTGTATTATTCATAAAATGTTACTGTTTTTTTTTTTTTTTTTTTTCAGTAAAAATTACCCATTAAGCGCCCCTCTGTGGTCGGTGTGGATCTCAGCAGGGTGTTCACAACATGATTTCAGACACAGGCTCCGCTGGGGGAAATTCATCTTGTTCTAAAGTACTCATTTCATCTGTGGGAACATTTGTTCACAGCTGAGGAGCTCATTCTGAATGCACACAGACACCAAACTCTCTCAGCAGCAGGAACAACATATGAAGTTGCCAAAGAGGATTTTATTTAAGAGGACTACATGTGACAACAAAAGCTGACTTTCTCTTTTAATATCTATCTGTTTTCATTTAAGTGACTGGCAGAGCTTCACGAACCGACATACCAACTCATCTCTGTGTTTACATGCTGGCTTTGGTAATGCCGTGCCATCTCCAGCTTTTACATTGGCGATAATTAAACTATAATATTGTTGTCATGTAGATTAGGGAATACTTGCAAGGCTCAAAGGATGAGTGAAAGACAACCCAAGGACCCTCTAACTCAGTAAACAATCTTATTCTTGCTGAATTTACTCGGCACAGTTTCATCTACAAGAGTGAAATTCATCCATAATTTATAATGAGTTTCGCTCTGATGCCACATAATCAGTTTTTCAGACATATTTCATTTGACTAATCAAACATTCAGTCACTTGGCAACATATTACACACTCACAGAGGGACACAAATCACTAAACCTGTATCTGTGTTTCGTTGTGTGTGAAGCCTGTCTGTATGTATGTGCCCACACACTGAGTGAATGTGTGTACTACAGCAGGTGTGCAGAACGGTAATTACTTCATGTGATTGCACAGACAAGCTGTGGAGGCCAATTTAAAATACTAAGAATTGTTTGTTTGTCAAACATACGATGCAGCTGGGGGAAAAAAAACAAGTGTTCAATATTTATCAGGTTTATTATCTGTGTGCATAGGCAATTTGATATAGCTTCAAACAACTGAGTTTGGATGGGGAAAAGTGACACCAGAGAACATTAAGTCTATATGAAGTCTTGTAAGTGAATATGATCCCTTTAGAGGGGGTTTATTTTACAGAGTACTGATTTACCATTTTACAAATAAAAAAGTGCAATAAGATGTACACACACTGTAATAGTAATAAACCAAAGCTGCAGGCTGATGTTTTTAGCTGTAGTTCATTATAAAGTCATATCAGTGGCCACTCTGTGGAGGCCATAGACTGAATATAGAATGGACGCCGTCTGCCTCCTAGCTGGGTGAAGCCACCACAAGAACAGCACCCTCTGGTGACGGGCTGCAGTATAAATCCTGCTGCCTCCTCCAGCAATCCGTATAATGCTGTGGACAAACTTTAGAACTGTATTACACCGAATATAAATTTTTCTCCCCTCTGCTTGTGATGTTGACATGTAGTTACTGTAAGACTGGTTTGTGCTCAAGTCCTCTTTTTTTTCCTGTGCAGCTCCATTTTTAAAAGATATTTGGGGGTTCATGTTTTCTATGATTGACACTTGATACAGCCTATGGGCGTACGAAGATTGTGTAGCTCACCTGTGGGATACACTGTTTGAGCCAAGCGTCATTACAGTGACTCTCAGTGACTCTCCTGCCGAATGCACACAACCCTACTGTGCAAGTGGCGGTTCAAGGAAGTGCAGGAAACCCTGGAAATACCGAGCGTAATTCTTCTTCAAATTCGTACAATGATGGAAGGCGGAACCAAGTTGTCCAAAGTATATACAGTCTATTGTAGATATATAAGAAATGCTATTTCCAGTCCCAAGTCCTAAGAACAGAATGGTAAAGGATTCCCTTACCTTCCACCTGTGCCGGTCTGGGTACAACCAAATGTCATTTGTGGAGGATGGTTGTTGTGACGTCCTGAGAGATCTGACTTTTTATTTAGAAAGAGGAACGAGGAAACATGAGTGAGAGACACTGGGAATCAGAGAGCACCTGGACCAGAGCAGAGCTTCTTTGAAACAAGTAATGTAGTGAAGTTTTTTTTAGAAACATGGGTGAACATGGGAAACATGGGTGAGTATTTGACTGATTTTAACTGTGTGAGTGATTGAGGTCTCTGAATTCATTGGCCGTCTGTGTGTATTGGAGCCAGGAGGAGATTGGAGGAAATCCTACAAGTTCATAAGCAAACGAGGAGAGAGAAAGATGGTCAACAGGCAGAGGAGGATGAACCAGCTGCTTCAAGGCCATGAAGTTTGGGAGCCTGGTGGTGTCCTTGTGGGACCACAGAAGAAGAAAAATGTCTATGCTGGGATATGTGGGACCTGCTGATGACTAACATGGGTGGTATCCAGGGGTGATACCTCTGACACACACAAAGCTGTGTGACCACGACTATGTTTTAGCTCAGTTGGTCAGCTGGTCTGCTCTTTCTCAATAGTTTCAGTTTTATAAACTGTTCTTCCCATCAGTCAAACACATACAAATGAACTAGACTGCCTCAATATTTTGTTTTTCCTTGCTTTATTTGCACAAATGACTCACTCCTCTTGTGTCATATAGTGTGCATACCATTTCAGTCTGTGTTCACAAAGCATGTTTAATTACACTGCAAGTATTTGTTGTTTTTGCACAGTTTACCAGATAATCAGGAGCCCTTAATTCACTTTCCTGCGAGTCCTATAGATACATTCTTGGTAAAATAGAGCTTCCTGATTCGTCTCATTTGACCATTTAAAAGGTTTTATTGGTTATGGAAGAAGAGCACTAAAACTTAATACAAAATTTGAATTTTTAATTGAAAGGCTTTTGAGAAAAATGCAGTTCTAAGTCATTGAAATGTTGGTGTGCTCATTTGCAGCGCTCTGCTCTGCCTCAGTCTGAATCTGCTCTCTTACAAGTTTCAAAAGCTCACCCTTGAGGCACCTTTTAAAATTTGCAAGAGGACTATTATTTCAAAATTACAGCCATTAAAAGTGACACTCTGCTCATTGACTGTGTCACAAAATGTTAAATGATCACTGTACAAGAAATGAAACATAGCACAATTATAGTGAGCAAGAAACATAATTTCACACAATTTTACAATCTCTTTTCTCTTGGGTGGATTTGAGCCAGAGTGAGCACTCAAAGACGGCACAGAAAACCTCGGCCTGAACAACATAGACGGTAAAACATACTAAGATCGCCTCTAAAACTGAGTGTGAAGACTGACAAGAATGATAAATAAAGCTCTGCATTAGAGTTTTAATAATAATAAAAAATAAATAAAATAATAATAATAATAATAATAATTCATTTTATTTGTTCAGTGCTTTTAAAAACAAGACGCTTTACATAGTACATAAAACATAAAACCCAAGGTAATAAAACAAAGACATACAAACAGTAGAAATAAAATGAATAAAACAGTTAAATATTAAAAGCAATTTTTAATAAGTGAATTTTTAAAAGGGATTTGAAAGTAGTGAGGTCAGGGCAGTGTCTGATGGAGGGTGGTACGGAGTTCCAGAGGGTAGGGGGCAGCTTCGGAGAATGCCCGCTCCCCCCAGGTTCGGTGCTTGGGCCGTGACTTTGGGGTGAGGAGATGGGCAGAGGAGGATCGGAGGTTACTGGGGGGTGCATGAGGCTGGAGCAGGTCGTTGAGATAAGGGGGGGCTTGATGATGAAAGGCTTTGTGGGTGGGAAGGAGGATCTTGAATGTGATGCCCTGCTTGATGGGGAGCCAGTGTAGACGGAGGAGAACGGGGGTGATGTGGTCTCGTGAACGGGTGTGGGTAAGGAGGCAGGCGGCAGAATTCTGGACTATCTGTAGTTTGTTGAGGAGTTTGGAGGGTAGAGGAGGCTGTCGCAGTAATCTAACCTTGAGTTGATGAAGGCATGGACCAGGGTTCCTGCTGCAGGGAGGGAGAGAGATGGGCGAAGACAGGCAATGTTTTTGAGGTGAAAAAAGGCTGATTTAGTGACCTGTTTGATGTGTTGTTCAAAGGTGAGGTGGGTATCAAAGATGAGTCCAAGGTTGCGGGTGGAGGAGGAAGGAGACAGGGATGAGTTATCAGCTGTGATGAAGAAGGGGGGGATGGATTTGGGGCAGATGATATTCATGTCAGATTTGTCACAGTTTAGTTGAAGGTAGTTGTTGGTCATCCAGGTCTTTATTTTGGAGAGGCAGTTGGAGAGGGTGGATGGGGTGATGGATTCAGTGGAAATGTAAAGTTGGACATTGTCAGCGTTACAGTGAAATCGGAGACCGTGACAACATATTTCCAAGAGGAAGGATGTAAATAATGAACAAGAGGGGGCCAAGCACCGAACCTTGGGGGACACCTTGGGTCAGGGGAGCAGTGGTGGAGGAGTTGCTGTTTATGTTGATGAATTGTTGGCGGTTTGTGAGGTACAACTTAAACCAGGAGAGGGCAGTGCCAGTGATGTAGATTAAGTCATGAAGACGGGAAAGGAGGATGGAGTGGTGGATGGTGTCAAAGGCGGCGGTGAGGTCCAGGAGAATCAGGATGCTAATAATCAAATCCTTATCAGTGTACATTAAATGTATGTTTTGCAATCTTCTCTGTTTCTGCCACTCTTGTTGATCAGCTGGTGTCTGTGTGAGTTGAACATCCATTAAATATGAAGACATAATTACCTATCATTTAAAATATAACGACACTTCATAGCAACTCTGATCAGCTGTATGAAGGTGTACAAAGTGAACAAGCAACTCTTCAAGCGAGTTTGTCTCTCTTGTTATTATTGTTGTGCTTAGACAGCAGCCAGTCAGATTGGTAATATCTTGTACACAGTAAGTTTTGGTAATACGCAATAATACACAAAAAACAAGGATCATGCTGTAAAATCGGATAATATTTTGATATAAAATGATTAAAAGATTAGTTTTTTGCTTTGGAAAAAGTGCATCCAGCCTGCTGCACTCACAGAGAGAGGAGGGAGAGGAGGCAGGGAGAATAATGTATTAGTACTGATCAGTGTTTTCACACATGTAGGACCATAGGGCTGTAAATTCTTGAGTCTGTTTTCTCTCGATAAAAAATACCGTCTTAATCCTCTTAAGTGATACAGAAAAGACTTTCCTTTTTAACACCTTTCCAACAACAGCCTGATATCTTAAAGCTAACAACGTCACAGACCTCTCTCTCTCTGTGTCTGCTGTATCCTGATCACTTTTGGGGGAGAGTGTTATGTTGATTGATGCTTTCCTCGCCATGGATTCACTTGCTCACATGGCGCTCCAGTCCATCATTAATTCTCCACTTCCTGCTGGTACAAGGTTTCCTCCTCTAAACATCTGTCTATCATTCTTTAAAAGTGAGTGGAGAAGAGTTGCCCTGCTGCAACTGATGAGCAAACTTGACAGCCTGACAGCATCGAGGTCTTGCTGTTTTCTGGATGGGTTGCTAAAATGTGATGAGAGGCGTTTGGGTGAAAGTAAACAACCGGGTTCCTCTCTGCGCTGTCTTTAACATATACAAGCAAAAACCTGAAGACGATCACAGTTTACATATTTCAAAGGAGAAACACCTGTCTTGTATTCGCTTTAGCTGTATTTGTGAACTTTGCAGCAGGGCTCCAGGGCCGCTCTGGAGGAAACGAGGAATGTGTTCTTGTGTGTGTGTGTGTGTGTGTGTGTGTGTGTGTGTGTGTGTGTGTGCACTCAGTGTTTAAAATGTAGATTAATTAAAACAAAATCATTTTTGGGAATCTCCTGATTTTATCATCCCTTTATTCAGCATCCCCTTCAGTTCTTCTTCCCGCAGCTGTGAAGTATTGCAACATCTTTATTTCTTTCATGTCCTATAGATGTAAAACAAAAACAGTTGGTTCTCTCCTTCTGCCCATAAGCAATGTTTATTTATAGGTTATACATGAACTGAATGTATTTCCTGTAAGTAATTATTTCAGGCCCACTGGTCTATTGTAAAAAACAAAATGATTTCTAAATTGTATTCTGTTGACAAGGGAGCATTTATCATGTTAAAGAGATTCCTCCCCTCCATACTTCTCCACTATAATGGATGTTTTGAGTCAAGGCGTCCCTTTACAATGATGTCTCTTTCCCCTTCTATCTCCTCTACCAGAAATATTTGACATTTGTCTTAAAACAAGGTTGCCCACAAGCATAGCAGCTTCATGAAAACTCCTGTTGACGTCATCCCTGAGCCTCTGTAAGGATTTGTCCAGCAAGGTTTGCTTTCGTCGTGTCTTTTTCTTTTCGGAACTCTATGTTTCATCAAGGACAGAGTCCTCACTTCTGCCTCTCTGTGAAGGTTATCCACTTTTTTATGTGGCCGTAACTCACAGGGTCGGTGAATCAGCAAAAATGGTGACATAAAACGATAGTAACTCACAACGCCTTTCAGCTACGGACCAAATACTGCCCTCAGTGCCATAATACTAAAGGTTAACTTTGATCGTCATTGTCGAGCCTTACAGCTGCACGGCTAGCGTCTTTAATCCCACCACACCCCCTGCTTTATGAAGATGTCAACAGTCATCCATGTAATCATCCACCTCCGAGTGTCCACACCTCCTCGCCAGAAGAAAAGGAAAATAAGAAATAGAGTCATAAGAAGATAAAGAGCTTACCTTTCCAGGGGTGACAGGATAGCCTTTGAGGGGGACAGTCCTATCCATCATGGTTCATGTCCAAACATTGGGTGGCATGCACAGAAACAGTAACAGCTGCTGGTATCCGCAGAGATGCATCAGATCCTGACAAGAAGAACAACAGATCACAGAAGGTAAATTAAAAAGCATTATTTCTGCAACCGATGTGATAATTACTTCTTTGGCTTTTTCCACAAGACATTTTCGACTATACAGTCTTCCAGACAGTTGCATGTGAAACAGGCCAAAGGCCAGGATATACAGGCTAATGAAACCTGAGTCACTCTCAGCTGCACTGTTCTGTTATGTTGTGAACTCTTTGCAATCATCCGTGAAGTCATGACTCCTGTAAGTGTCGCTCATGCAGAGGGAAGGCCACAATGCTGAGACCTTCTTTTTTTTTTTTTTTTTTTTTTTAACTTTTGAATATTCATTTTCACATCTGAATGTCTGTCTTTCAAAAATATTCAAACAGATGTTTAAATATTCTTGGCCAGCCAACTCTCTGCTAATGACTTCTCACAGTTAATGATCGAATGTGTGTTCCTATTTGTGGGAAATGTGTCATGAGACCTGGCAAACATGCTATCTGGTGTACTTGTAAGTCACTTGCCACTGCAGCTGCTTACTGCTCTGCCTCACAGTATAGAGTGGCCTTCAAATTTGACTCAGCTTGGTGCGAATAATCTCCCCTTCTTGCCGCTCACATTAACCATGATTATTGTAAGGTATGCAGGTTGGGTCAGTAGTTTAAGGTTTAATGTGGATGAGGTTGTTGGGTTTAAGCTGATTTTTACCCCTGAAAATCTCCCTCAATTACACTGTTCAAAGGTCACATTATGTAGACAAACTGTGGTTCATGTCATCATTGAGAAAACTTGGTTTCTGACTTATGAATGACTTAAGACTTAAGATACATTTATTTTACCTTTTACTTTTGTCCTGACTTTGACTTATCCCAGAAGGATTATTAGTCCAAAGGTTCAGTTTCATTGGGGTCCAAACCATTAAAGACTACCTTTGGGTAGATGATTTGTCAGACAGCATCAACAGAATGGGGGGCTGATGTAAGTTCAGCAAGCGATGCTGTTAAATGGTCTCCTGAATCAAACATGAGAAATAAGTAAATCCTAGAAATCCCGATCCTGCCCTCAGTATTCACCTCCGGAGTGTCTGAGTTCAGTTAATAAATATTCTACTCAAGTATTATGCATCAATTTGAAATGTTCGGACTGTCAATGTACGGCTTGATGTCTTAATTATTATACTGAGTCACTGTTAGCATTCCTTTTGAACTGTGACTGGCTTCAGAACTCATTGATATGCTGAAGGAGACACGCTGTCTACCATTCATTATTAATGCAAACATGACGTGCTGTCAGATTTCTTTAAATCTTCAAACCTACTTACGGCACACTTTATCTGTCATGACAAGACGCCATTCTTTATCACTAAAAGGTAAAGACCATCTCTAGTTGATTCCTGAATGTTTTCTGAAAAGTTAGTTTGTATAACTAAAGAATTTAAATATATTTGTTAAAAACTATAAAGTTGTAAGTCTTTTTTTTTACTGAGAAAAAAAAAAGAGCTCAAGACTCGCCCAATAGACATGTCTCAAAACACTCAAAGCAATAATGTGACAGAGCCAAGACGACAAGTACGACACTGCATTAATATTTATATCAGCTGTCATCAACCAGCCTTCAGGCCTCATGTTATTCCCCAAAACACATTTAACCTTGGTTAAAAAAGAAACACCACCCATGCTGCTGTTTGAAGTCGGTGTAAAATCTCATACCTCTGTTTTCACTGTGTAGCTACATTCTCATGTGGCCATTTTCCTCCCAAACTTGATAAATTTTGAAACACATATCTGATGAGTCTCACATTATTTTATATATTGATGTGGTTTTTCAACTTTACCTCAATTTCAGCTTCTCCAGATCTTTCCATCGGTGATACGAGTCATAAAATATACTGAGCAGGAATTAAAGTGGCTTGGTTTGGATGTTCGTACTTACAACAGGAAAGGGCCTGAAGAGTCAAAGTTTCCGTTATTATGTTGAATGGAGATTCTACAAGAGTGTGAAAATGTTAAATTATTGTAAATAATGTTATACCTCACTATTGGCAGCTTGTCAAGAGTTTTACAACACAGACTTTCTATCTTGAGTTGGTGTTGTAATGACTCGCAGGATTACATACTTCTTTCTTCTCCTTTCCTGTCGACCACGATAAAGTTGTCGTCTAATGATCAAACTCATAAGGCCAACTCAGACCAGCCTCATCTACAGCTCTTCAAGTTGTTGCTGTTGGTTGTGGAAATCAACACTAATTTGATGGTGGGAATGATTTCATTTATGTTTACAACATTATGACCTGTGTTATTCCATGTGTTGATGTCAGATGCCTACTGGCCTAACGACAAATCAATATAAAATAGAGATACGCAAAGCACGTAGTTGATGCCGATATCACGTAGGTTCTTAATGACTTCATCGCAGGGGTCCAGAATGACATTTTGTGTGAGTTGTGTTAAGTCCCTTTGCTAAAGAAATCAGGCAAAGCTAAAAAGATGTTTGATGGCTAGTACTATGGCTGGGACCTGGCATGTTTTGTTGATGAAGTTAGGTGCTGTTCTGAGCATTATTTGTGGCTATAGAGTGGCTTTTTGGTTGAGGTTTGCGTGTGGAGACGTAGACCGCTGTGTATTGCTATCGTGCGGTCGTTACTAAAGTTGGCATAACTAGAGAAGCAAGCAGTCGGCAACATTCATCTCTCGAGGGGGTGTCTAACTCAGTGTTACGGTGTGTTTGACCATAACTTAAATGTACGCCGACATATCCCTTTAAATTAACAATAATAGTGATCTATCACATTGTCAGTGGGTCTACACTGGTTAATCAGTAAGGAAATGGTGGGTGGCTCTATCAGACTAGGACAAGACAGACTTTAGGTTCAAACACTATCTCCAGGTGGCAGACTTTTCGGCACCTTGCCAAGTGGGTGAAGAGCCCTGGAGATGTGTTGTGATGTTATTCCTCTCTTAAAACAAAAGGGGAATAAAAGTGTTGAAACCTCTAGCAACATCTTTTTGTCAGCGGAAGAATCTTCACGGTTATCATCGAAGAATCACACAGTTTGAACGTTCCCTGAGGCTTCAAGCTGCGAACTCCAACCAATTAGAGCAAAACTGCCCCTGCACAGACCCTGTTGAAAGGTTTTACCCAAAAATAACTTCATCATCAAAGAGACAGGACGGAACAGGTCCTTCAAGAGATAACTGCTGTGCGCTGGGCGAACAGGAGAGTGTGAGTCAGAGTGAAGAGATCACAGATATTTAGAGATGAGTGTGAACCCGCAAAATGGTTCATGTCATCTCCGGCCAACTCAGAGGGAAAATCTGTCAGCCTTACTCTGTGTTTACATGGTACTCTCTAATACTCTCTCATACTCTCCAATATCATATGCAGCTACCTTGAGGATTTAGATTTAAAAGACTTGGGATGGGCAGTAGCCTCTCGTTCAGAAAGTTCAACCAAATTCTTGACTCTGTGGACTCATTTAAACATTCATCCTTAAATTTGACATGCTTTGAATCAAGAGGAAGCCAGTCACCCCTGTAAAAGTTTAAAACTCTCCCTAACTTTTTCTTCATACCAACTTTAACAACTGTGCTCTCATTTGACTTTATTGGAATATTAAGTGGTAACAATAATTTCACATTTGAGACATGTGGCAGAAAATCAATACAGAGCACACACAGTGATCACAGAATATTGCACATTATTAGACTAGTTTAATATCCAAGAATCTTGTTTAGAAGAGAAATGAGTGTAATCCAGCCAAAAGTGTCAAAGTTAAAACAAAAATAAAAATTTCAAGACCAGTTTTCCTCATAAAATTGAACCAATAAATGACATGCATTATTGCCCAGAGCGACTAGCTGAGTCCAATTTTGGTTTTGCTCATTTCTATCCAGCTGGTTAGACTGACATTAAAACCTAAATGCAGGGTGCGTATCACATTCTGGTTATAAAGTTAGTATAACAAAGTTAAGGAACAGGACCACACTTTAATTACCAATTTAACCACTTGCACCACCACTTTCTACTATTTGGAGAAGGGTCTGCACTATGTTAGTGCTGTTGCCTTGCATTAACAAGGTCCCTGGTTCAGTTCCTCACTGTTGTCTGTCTATATTACCCCCAAAAAGATAGTTATTGGACTGATGTATGAGGAACTGTACATCTTTAAATGACTTGTCTGTTTGGCAAGAAAAGAAGCTTGTTGGATTTTGCACTTAGGTCAACAGCTGTCAAGTAGTTGACGTGGGTACAGTTTTATACTATTGCCTGTCCTGTTTAGAGATGATCACTGGAGTCCTTTAAATAGCACATGACTCATGAGTGCACCAGCACTGTTGTAATCCTGCAGGGAAATCATTAAATTATGTCTAAATTAATATGGTAGCACTGATGCGTATACACTTCTGCAGTGATTGATATTTTATCAAAGAGAAACAGAAAATGAACTCATAAACATAAGCAGTTGTACTTGAATATGAAATACTTAATTAACTATGTACAGGACATACATTTCCCACCAACACAGTGGGACAGCATGCATATTAATCAGAACAATGGTAAGTACTGTCAAACCTCCACAGCTTTGTCCCTGTCCTTTCACCTGCATTAGTCATGATAATGCCATAGAAGGGGCTGAATTGGACTATTATGTGTTCAGATGATTTAATGAGGCTCAGAAAGCCCAAGATGCACAGAGGCAACATTTGTCTTAGCTTTCAGACCTTGGATTACGCTTCAAGGAGAGACAGGCTCTGATGGGACCTCCACTCTCACTGCAGGGGCGTAGAGGAGGAGGAGGAAACTGTGATTTCAATGGCTGATTTTTCTGGTAATAGAT